CAGAACCTCTTGTCTGTTGCCCAGGATTGTTGGGTTCACTATTATCTCTTTATCCCAGTAGGTCCTGAATCAGTAATTTTATTAAATATTATGAGATTCATATTATAGTGTTATTTTAATTACAGTATTGATTCACATTTCAGGATTCATTGCTTGCATATTACCTTGGTAACATTAAATCTATTAATAAACTATCTTACCTCTTTCATTTACATGTAGAATGCAAATAACTGAAAATAAAATTAACCACTCACCATTTCAAAAAAGAACTAAACTCATATTTTAAAGTATCTACTCACAATAACTCTTAATGTTGTGTTCTTTTAATTATCCAATTTGCTTAAGTAGCCAGGCTTCTTATTATTATATTATATCTAATCTTGATTTATTTTATAGAGCTACTTGAATTAAGCAACAAACCAAATAAAACATTTAATAGTTTAACTTGGAGGGAGTAAAATATAAAGGATTTCACTGTATTCTGTGGTGTATGAACAATGCAACTATTCTTACGTAACATCTAACTCTGCCAGGAGCTAGGAAAGAAGCAAGTGCTTTCTTCAGCCCCACAATCATGCTAAGGTCATCAGTCACATCATGACCTCTGCAACTGGGCAAGAAAAACAGGATGCAGATGAACGCTTATGTATAAGTAAATTTCTTGGTATAGATTCAGAAAAAATACCCACTTAGAGTAATTTGCAATAACAAAAATAGTGGCTACCAGGTACCTACATGTACCAGGAACTCAATTTTTCTGATGTGAAAACAGAGGTTTAGAGAGATTAAGCAATCTGCCCAAGGTGGTACAAACAAGCTCTCTCTCTCTCTCTCTCTCTCTCTCTCTCTCTCTCTCTCTCTCTCTCTCTCTCTCCAGAGAACAGTTAAAATTATTTTCACTCTATGTTGACAACTTACAGGGTAATTGTTTCAAGGCTGGGTCTTATTTTCATTCTATGCAGAGAGCCTCAGAATGTAGGATGCAATCACTGCTAATGTGGTACCTGTTAAAGGATTTGGGACATTAATTTCTAAAATAATAACCTCCTTAAGAGATATAACTATCCTTGTGATAGATTCTCTATCAAATCCTTATAAGTAACAACAGAAAAGAAAAAAAGAAACTGTGTTACATAACACAGCAAAATGGGAAGGCTTTCTATTTTTTCCTACTAAAAAAAACAAAACAAAAAACTCAAAAGCAAATACCTGTCTGGAGTGTGGAAATAGGTCCAGTTAACTTGTTTGGCATTCACCTTGGTGAGTCCTTTCACCAAAGATATAAGGCATTCTTGGCTTCCCCCATCCTGCATTAAGACTTGACAGCTGTTCAACACTACAGAGCAGGATTACATAACAAGGTAGTTCAAGAAGCAAAAAGAAAAGCATATTGAAATGAGGCTCTGGTGAGTGGGCTTGTAGTGAAGACACTTTTACCATCATAGAAAAGAGTCAGTGGCAAGGCCACGTGAATGATTATAATCATGGAAATGCTCGGGGTTTTTTCCATAACCAATCTCTGAACTATACATACTTACATATCACAAGCAGTGACCTTCTATATGAGCATTTGTGTGGGGGAGAACATCTCTTGCACCGTTCTAATTCTTTTTCAGATGTTCTCAGAAGTCAAATATAACTTTTCCTCCTTTCTTTTCTCTCTTTTTATAATGCAAACTCACAAACATTTTTTAAATAACAAAGAGTAATTTCAATGGGAAGAATCAAATCTGAGACTTCTGACCTCATTAGCAACTCTAACAAATATAATGCAACTCACTGTCTGTCTAACATGAGCTTTTTCCTCAGCATAAATAATTTTTTTAAGAGCAACCCCAAGCTGGTTTTAATTTCTTAGCTCCAGAGACAGAAGTCTTCTACTTTTTATGTGCTTTTAAAAAAACAAGTATCTTTAAAGCAGTTTGGGTACCAAGGTGAAAGCCACAACTGGCCCCATAGTCAGCACTTACTGGCTGAATTTGTTTATTAAAGCCATGTGTTAAATTAAAATTAAGAGATAACTAGAAGATACAGTGAAGAAAAAAAGAGAATATGCTTGTTCATGCAAATCTTTGAACAAACCTACTATTTGCTTTTAATCTTTTGATAAAGAGCATGTACAATGAACTTAACTTAGCCCTAAAATGGCATTAATAGACCAATTTGTTTCTGCTGAATAAATCAGGGTACATCTTTGCAGATATATTTTAAAATCTCAGCAATTTCTAAATAGTGTGCATATAATTTCTTGCTTAGGAAACTAAATGTCTATTTTTGTGACCTAACATGTATATAACTTTATATTTGCAAAAGGATTTATTTGCAGTCATTTTCCTGATAAAAATTCTGTAAGACCAGGTTGTATACTATGCAAGAAGAAACGAAGAAATGAAGAAACTGAGGTCTAGTAACTTGCATGCATTGTTTAGGTTCATAAATGGAAGAAGTGGCTAAGATTGGATGCACATATAATTTCTGTTTTCTATCAGGTAATGATTCTACTGAATTGTCTCAATTTCATTTTAAATCAAAGATTTGGTTGAAAAGTAAGGTCGTTAATAATATGTTTAAAGAAGAAGAAAATATTTACCTTGAAATATTAGCAATTTCACATAGCTTGTATATTTCAGAAACTTTTTAAAATTAACTAATTCATCCTTTCTTCCAAAATGATTTGAAGATCATAAATATCTGTTCTTTGCTACAGAAAATGCAGAATATATCGGGGGGCCTGGTATTTAACATTTCAGTAAAATAAATGCCAGTGTTAAAAACAGGATAAATTGAAAATTTGTAAAGAAATAACCTAGTACAGAGCCTGGTGCATTCTATGTGCTGAATAAATGTTGACAAAATTGATAATAAATGGAATATCAGAGTTTCTAGCCTTATCACTTTCTGAAACCAAATATTCCCTTTCTAATATCAAAGCTAATGATACTTTGTCTAAACTAAAAGCATTTATGCCTCAAGAACTATATCATAAAGTTGTCTAACTATTTGGAAGTTGCTATAGAAATGCCAGTGCATCTACCTATTAAATGTAACTATGTCTCCTTATGCACAACCTCATATTCTATAGTCTCTGAATTAGGTTGCAAAGGACAGAACTTCAAGGCCTTATATAATGCTATAAATACAGGCAAGATCTGCATACAGCACACTATTTTGATAAAAAAAGATTCAAGTACGGTAGATAAAACACATTAAAACAATAATCAATAATTAAAAGCTAC